AGCATGGAAACAACTGCTATTGTGCTATTCCTAAGAATAGCAAGAAAGATCTTTCCAACCCTTTGGGCCCAAATATGTGATCACATACACAGAAAATCCTCTCCAAAGGTCAGTGTTCCTACTGAGCTTATCTCTAAAGATAAATAGAGCATCTTTACTAAAAAGAAGTTAGACTAAAGACTACAGCAGAAGCAGTCTCTAAAAATCCATTGTGCTTCCAGGCAAAACAACGCCACTCTTTGGAGTTGTGCAGTGGCATTTTTCATGGTGATTGCAGCAAGATTTTCTGTGTTGTGTGCAATCTGTCTAAAATCGATGTCCATGAAAAAAAAGGCACAAAAAAGATGTGCTTGTTTTACAGGCCTGTCCTATATAGACATTTACACTGTGCTCTTGAACATCATTGCATAGGATTGCAGCTGCATTCATGGCCTGATGTAATGCTAAACCATTACAAAATGTACTGGGAGCTGTGCTGTCTTCCAGGCAGTGTTCAAAACTCCCATTGTTCTAGGAGCATTTTGCGACAGGGAATTTTACAGACGTGAGAAGTTTTTGAGCTCTGGGTGCAGCACTGTGCCTAAGATTTCAGATTAAAACTGCAGAGTGGAAGGAAAGGGGGACCTTTTCCTACTTCCCCACTTCCAGCTACTCTGAAGACTGGAGAAGAGGCCCTCTTAAGAATATTAGGGGGCTGGGCAGGGAAGGACTAGAGACCATGTGAAAAATGAACATAACATTTTAGCTGCAGTTCATTCATTTTCAGCTTTGTATTCTTGTTACAGTGTGCCTAGACATTCTGTTGTTGTGCCCATAACCTAGGTTTAAGGTGCCATTTAGCTCCTAGCTTTCATATCTCAGTTTCTAACACTGCTTCCAGCTGCAAAGATTCAAGCCCACTGACCATTTCCCCTTCCTTCTGATCCATGTGGGCACAAAGGATACTACCAGACATACCCTTCAAATTATTGCAAGGGACTATGAGACTTTAAAAAGAGATCTGCATGAAAATTCATAAGCATTTTGAGTAAATTTATTCTAATATACACATGTTTATGTTCAATTTTAGTCTAAGCAGTTTCTCCTAATATAATGCACCTTTCTGTATGTTATTTTCACTAATATATGCATTCGTAGGCAATACTTAATATATCCATTTATGTATACATTGCTTGGCTAGAAACTGCACTGAAAAAAAATTGGAAGACTGAGAATTTCAAAGGCTAGCTGAGTTTTGGTTTGTATATTCAATTCAGTTCACCTTTAAATGTGAACCGAATTTAACTTCTCCCCCACCCAGAGCTGACAGACAGCAATTACCTCCAGGATTTCACAGCTGAATGGGAATTTGAACCCAGGTCTTCCAGCAGAGGTTAAGAAGGCCTCCTCATTTTAGACTTCCTGGCCTTTTCCCTGCTGACAGGCCTTTACAGCTGTTTAATTTTTCCCTTGATTAGCCAGTCACCTTAATGATTATCTGTGCCTTTAGTTTTAGCATTGAACCACCCAAATATTTTATGATATGGCATAAAAATTGTCTTAGTTTTGCTTGTTTGAAAATAAACAATCCAAACCAGAAGTGCACTTTTGCAAACGCCTTCTTGCAGCTGTGCTGGAGGATGGGTGACAGAGACCGTGTGAGCTTGGGGAGGAGCTAGGCTCATTCTCGTAACACTAAACTATGCTTTGGTGTTACATTCAAACCCTGGTGCTGTCAGGAGCAGGTCAGCAATAAATCATTCGGTGTCAGAGAAGTTAACTCTTCAAGGAATCAAGGTTGACTCAGGAAGCACAGCACCTTGTTCCGATAGATCTTGCTCCTATGAGGCAATTGTGGGGAATGAAGATCCCTGCCTTCCCAAAGTGTCTCCTGCCCCAATTCCTTCCCAAGCAATCTGAGGCTCTATTGTTGTGCCTGTCTTTGCTCCTTCCTCTTCATACCTCTTCTGATTCTGGGAGATCAGTGGGGAGGGGAGCTGGCTTCTTCATCAGCCTGCCTCATCTCTGCCTCTTGGCCCCTCTCCTCTCCTCTCCTCTCCCTCTGCTTCTTGACTTCTTAGCTTCTTCCTGCTCACTAAACACTGTTACTTCATCAGCTTACAACACCTCCTCCTCCCAGGCTTCTCCCTCTGGACCACTCATTGTCGTCCCACCACCAATCCCTGGGCTCTGAGCCTTCTTCCCTTAGGGGTTCTCACTACACCGCTGGATCCAGCCTGTCCCTGACACCAGCCCTTTAAAATGCTTCTCAAGGAACAACAGGCAACCAGTGAAACTGCTGTGTGCTCCCAAGAGAAACTAGTGTGTGTGTGTATATAAGAACTGATATTAAAAGCCCTCAGAAGATAAAATGAAAAACGAGGGAAGAAGGAAACATTTCCACTCGTTTTATTGTGGCTTCTTCCCATCCTGAACCTCCTTAGATATTCACTCAACCTCAGTCACATTGTATGATACCCTTGTAGATTTCTAGGAAATGTTTTTCTTCAGGTTAGTGAAAGGGTTGTTAAAGAGGAAGGGAAAACAGAAGCGACAAAGAAGACGGTGATGGAGACGAAAACGGCACAGCCAGCTACAGCCCCGTCATCCGTGATGCAGCTTGATAGCACCTGAAGCTGATAGTCATGAAGACCAAATACAATCTAACCAAATTGCCCTGAGCTACTGCCACTAGAGAAATCTCCTTCTTTTCTTCACTGGCAACCTTCTCTTTTGAGTATAGCTATTAAGGCAGAGCTGGGAGGGGGGAAAATGGTGTTTCATTTCAGAGCTTTCAGTCTGAGAAAGGCTGTTTAATATTTATATAAAGCTCATGTGTAGCTTATGCACCTGTCAACATGCTAAATTATATGATCGTGATTGCAAAATGAGCTATTTATCAGATGAAAGGGTGTGTTGGGGAGGGGGAGAGCGAGTGAGAAAGAGACAGAAGATGTTGCTTCTCAAAGCTAGAGCCAGATCCAGAACTGATGGGAATTTTGTCAAATTGAAGACAATGTCCACTGGGATGAGGGGATGTCTAAGAATCCCATCCTATAAGAGTATTTTGCAAAGTTTAACGTAAGTACACAAGAAGAGCCTGCTGGATCAGGCCAATGGCCTATCTAGTCCAGCATCTGTTCTCACCGTTGATGCCTGTGGGAAACTCGCAAGCAGGAGCCAAGCACAAGAACGCTCTCCCTTATTCAGAAGCATTGCTGCCTCCAACTGTGGAGGCAGAATATAGCCATCATGGCCAGTAGCCATCAAGAACCTTCTTTAAAGCCATCTAAGTTGAGGACATAATTGCTTACTTAGGAACATAGGGACAGGATGACAGGTATCTGCACTATACTGAGCCAGACCAATGGTTCATATTGTCAACACTGACTGGCAGGAACTCTCTGGGGTTTCAAGCAGGGGTCCTTCCCAACCCAACCTACAGATGCTAGGAACTGAACCTCAGGTCATCTACATGCAAGGCCAATACTCTGCCACTGAGCTCTAGCCCTTTCCCAGTTATTTATTTTTGCAGATTAGATACGATATGAACATAGATGGGGAAACTGAAAGGCTCGAACCCTTTGTTCCAATTGGGGAGGAAGCACTTCTAGAATAGATCTAGAACTCACCGATGGCAGGCTTTCACCTTGCTGTGAACTTGAACATATATGGTAGGCCTAGCACAGCTTGATAACATTCCTGCATGCTTTATATGAGTCAAGGATTTCAGTGCAGCATAGTAGTGCTATCCTTACCACCACACTGCGACTTCTGAGGTGGGGGCAAGTCTAGTGTGAAGAAGTTTCCCAAGCCACCTTACATCTTCACATGCCTCATGCTTGATCTCAAGAGGCTGGGAGTTCCAAAGCGTAGGTGCCTGCCGCATTACAAATGTGCTTTAGTACAAATTTCTCCTAACAGATTTGCATGCAGTTTTGTCTTATATACACAATTTTACAAAGAAGTTTCCTCAAATATAATGCATTTTTGGCATGCTATTTTCACAAATATATGCATTTTATGCAGTATATGCATTTTGTGCCCATTATTTGGCTAGAGACCTGTGTTGCAAAGTTAGGATTTTGAAGGATGGGTGCTTTTCAATTCTTGCATTGTTTTGGGAAATGTGAATCGTGTATGCTTGCCTTCAAATGTGAACTGAATTAAATCTCTCCCCCATTCCTAGCTGGAGGACAGCAGCTATCTCAAGGGTTTCACAGAGGAGTGGGGATTTGAACCCAGCTCTTCCAACCCAAGTCTACCACTTACCAGTCCATGATATTCTGAAAATGAAGATACATGAACAGCATTCCGCCAACAAACTCAAGCTGGAATTACCCAAAGTAAAACAGAGGAACCAGAGTAAATGCATGTTCTTCAAGCATGTCAGATGCGTTTTTAACAGGCTCATGAATTTAAAAGCCCTTTCCTAAGAGACTTTTATGCCAAAGTTATATTAAAATGTATTAGGTTAATTTACAGGTAGTTTTACACGGCATGCTCATTCTAGGAACTTAAATGACATTGCCAATATTCAGGGAGCAGAAAGACTCGCAAGCATTTGTTTTGATTCCTCTCATTGGATAATGAATTACTACCCTCCTGTTATACCTCTGCTAAAAATGTAATGCAGTGCATGTATAATTATGGCCTGATGTGAATGTGAATTATAACTCCTTGTGATACTTTCTCCCGTGATTTGCTGGAATATAAATAACTGTGATTTATTCCTGTTTTACCTACTGCTCTATCAGTGATGGATCATAAGAGCAGATCATGATAATTATGGAATCAGAAAGGAGCAGGTATCCCCCCCCAACCTGCTGAAACACACGGACTATTAGTCTATTGTAACTCTTCCACTGAGATGGCTTTTGAACCAGAATTCATCTATTTTGTTATAAAAAAGGAGGAGACGAATTATTTTTGCACTTATCCTTTTCTAATAGAAGGATCAGATTTTTTTAAATTTCAAAATCTAGAATCTTAGGTGAAATTATGTATCAGTTTGGTGGACTGCCATAGCTCAGTGGTAGATCTTCTCCCTTAGAATGCAGAAGGTCCCAGGTTCAAACCCCAGCATCTCCAGATAGTGCCGTCCCTTGCCTGAAGCCCAGGAGAATCACTGTCAGTCAGCGTGGACAATGTGGATCCATGGAATGACTCAGTATAAGGCAGATCCCTACGTTCCTAATTTGAAATACCCTCACCAGTCCAGAGCCTTGTCCACTGTGCAAGTAAGTGCACTTGCCCTGTTCTTCAGAAGGAAAATACAGGGTGCATGTCAAGTGTTGGATCAACATCTTAGCTAAACTTAGCCACATACTGTTATGTACTGAAGTTCTCACCCTGGGCCACCAGGGGGATACTGTAGATAGTTATGCAAATGAAGGATTGAAAGTGACGTTCAGTGATTGGATAGTTTTAGAAAGTTGCTCCAGTAACGTTGTACTGGAGCTCTATATAAGCAGGCTGACTGAGCCCTTCAGCTCAGTTCTGTTCTGGCCTCTGAATAAAGAAGAGCTGTTTGAAGAATCGCTGTGTCGTCTGATAAGTTCACCCACAACTTAACACATACCATAGCTCTCTGCTGTGTTTTACCTGTCTAGAACTCTCCTGGTTAAAGACTGAAGGCTGGCTGAAAAGAAATGTTTTTGCTTGACACCTAAAAGAGAGCATTCCAGAAGCAGGGATCCACCACTGAAAAGGTCTATTCTTGCCATTCTATGGACCTCCCTCGGAGAAGGCACATGGAGAAGGACCTCTGGTGATGAATGCAGGGCCACTGATTTGTCTAAGAAGCCATGGGCTCCAATATGAAATTGCTGCCCAACAAAAATGTCAAATTGTCTGTGATCTAGTATGGAAAAACTAATGCTTGAAAGACTTCAGGGGAAGGAGGATGTGCAACACGATATGACGAAGGTTGCATTTAGGCTGTCTGAAATGTAGTCTTCCTGAATTTCCCCCCAAAGAAACCCTTTTTAAGTTTTTAGTTTGCCACAATTTGCAGATGTTCATTTCACTGATTGCTGGCACGGATGAAGTGTGTTTTTGAATTAATTCCTATTAAAGTTTCCTTTTGGATTTTGTTGCATTCTGTTTTGCTCTGAACAGGATCCTGCTTTAATGCACATATAAAGTTGTTTATATTGCATTTTTGATTAAATAATTGAATAACTGCCAGATGAATAATTCCCAACTGCTTGAGATGTATTTTGGAACCAAACTTTAACGAACCTTAGAATCCAAGGGAAATAAATGAATAACAAGCACAAGGAAGGGAGGGGAAAGTTTTTCCTTCCCTAAAAACAAAAGGCTGATTTTATGTGCATCTATACACAGTGTAAAAAGGCTTATGTCTTGCAACTGAATAAATAACTATTTGAGCAATAATTTGTTTGCATGCTGTTAATTAGAAGCATAATTAATTTCTGTAAATTATAAATAATGGGACACAAAATGCCATTCCCAGTGGATCAAATGGCAACAATATTAAACAGCTTTAAAGAGACAAGAAGGGTGCTCAGTGCAACTTATTTAAATGGGTTGTGATTATTTTTTCCTGAAGTCTTGTTATTAATGAAAGCCATGAATTTGCAGCTGAAGTTAATAATTTATTGGCAAAAGTGTGAGACTTCGTTAATTATTCCTCTCGTTTTTTTTGCTTGGCACATATGGAGGCAAAATCTCTCTGTTTATCACTGCTTCAAATAAACAGTAGCATAACTAGATTATTCCCAGCAGAAAGATTTACCCCATGCCCTAATCTCAGAGCAATCATTCACTGATCTAAATGAGCAGTTACTTAAACAGCTAAGAAGGGATGGTAATTAGCCAAGGAAAACTAGGCAAGAGTATTTAATTTTCCCCAAAATAATATTTTTCCACTGCCTTCTAACATTTTGCATATATCAGCTTCAAAGATCTCCCCCTCTCTTTTCTCCATTTCTGTTCCATAATACAGTGCTAGAAGCCAGCCAGAAGGGGATAACCTATCAGGGTTGAAACATGATATGTTGGGATTCCATTTCAAGGTAGCCACAAGGGGCAGTGGTTAGCAATTATTTGTAGTGACCTTTGGAAGACTTGTGCGATGTCTTCATGCGGTTCAGTTGGGTGGAAGACTAGTTGAAGGACTCTACAGAAAAGTGATGGAAACAGCTATATTGGTGGGGGATAAATGAAAATATTCACATTGGACAGACACTTATTAACACTCCACTCTCCATGTCGCTCTTTAGACATCTTGGTTTGGCTCAGTTTCAAAGCAATTATATAGTATCAATCTCTTGCTTTTATGATGTCATTCTCCACCTGCACTGCACTAATGGTAGGAATTTAGGCAACATGGTGAGGGAACGAAGTCTGCATTTGCATGCTCATAAGTATGCACAGAGACATCTCTGCATTCCAACTCCCCCTCCCCCCCCCTGCAAAGTTTGCTCTTGAATCTATTTGTCCCTTCAATCATTAGTGGATCTTCACGCTTGTTATATGTCAGCCAGCCTGGCCCTAACATTGTCTTTACTATATAGCTGGATGAAAAACCTACCTTGGAGATGAAACAGTCACCCCATATTCTGCTCTGCAGTTTTGCTTTTCTTCGAAACCTGTTTGGTCCCTTTTCAAGAAATAAAAATACCTCGTGTTTGGTTTTCATCTATGAACCAGGGCAGGCTCCAGTTTCTGACTCAGGAATTGGGCTCAGAAACAACAATGCAGAGAAAGCCCTTTACACTTCTCTTTTAGCTTGTTCCTTTATAGTGCCATGTTTGGAGGTGGCCTTTCTGCTTTCCTCCAGAGTTATTTCCCAACCATCTCCCTTCACTTTATATTTTCACTGGGACCTCTTGAAGAGACTTCAAACTGGGCTAGGAAGAGGGTCTCATTTCTATAAAAAAGACTATTTTGGTTCTGACCAAGCTGTATGATGGAAAAGTTCTGGCTTAATGTGCCCCACTTGCCTCTAACATTATGATCTAAACATATCTGTGAGGTATTTTATTACCTTTACCAAGGATAGTTCTCTGCTTCAAGGCATCTTCTACTTTTGAAGGGCTATCTGAGCCAAATCTGGATAAAAGATAAAGAACCCGAAGAAGGGACATCTGTGAGGGCCTTGAAGTTGGCCATCCATAGTTAGAATTAGGATAGCAGCCTGAGCAGGCAAACAGGACACCTGGAGCTCAGCTACATTAGTAAAGAAACAATGATTCGAATGTGCTATAAACATGCAACACCAGATGGCACCAGAGAGCAGGAATTTTTTATACACAATTTTCCATAGGGTTTCCCCCCCCCTTTAGTTATAAAGACATAATTTATGACTTATTTGTAGTGTTCTTCCCCCCTGTGTGTAGATCCACCCCTGGTTACAGTCTTCCCCACTAAGATAAGATGTATTGCATTTCCATTTAACTATATCCTAGCTTTACATTCATGCAGATAAATGAGCATATGCAAATCTGTGCTCCTTTTTTTGCAACTTATTCATCAATAGCAACTCCCTGGGAAGAACTGATTGTTAAACCACTCTGGAATGGTAGCTCAAAGGGGAATAAGGGCCCTCAACAACTCTCAGCTCCCAGAATTCTTTGCAGGACACCAGGGCTGTTTAAACTGGCATTCTGTTGCTTCAAATGTATGGGTGGGGTGGGATGGCGCAGCAGATGCATCACTATTGGGGGAGGGGTGTCCAGTGACCGAATTCTGCTCTCTCCTCATGCACTCACTGACACCACAGGAGGGATTGAGACAGTTCTATTCTGTTCCTTAAGTCACTGATACCAGGCCCTTGCTTTCCTCATCTCCACATCCACGAAAAGAATTATAGGCAAAAACTATGTAAACACTTTATCATATATATATATCCTTCCAAATGCCGCGGATGAGGCAGAGATACCAGGGAGCGGTGAGGCATCATCACAAGAGTGTGCAAACGCCTCCATCGTGACTAAAAATGTTGGATGTTGTAGGAGGTGTACAAATTTGCTTCTGACCTTTTATGAGAGATAGAAATGCTGACTCATTCCCTTCAGTGCCCGGGAGACACACATTCCTGCTGACTCATTTTTTTTTGCTTGAAACCCTGTTCTTCTCTCATCTACTCACTAATGACATTCTCCTAGATTTGTGTCAACTTAAACTTTTCTTTTCTTTAGAAGCTTGCCGGATGAGGAGAAAGTGGGTTACTTAAGGGACACGAAAGGGATCAGTCTAGTGTTTGATAATTCAGTCAATAGGGGCATAAGAAGAGCCCTGATGGATCAGATCACAGGCATATCTAGTCAAGCATGCATCAGATGCCTATGGGAAGTCTAGAAGCAGGACACATACACCGCTGTCCGCTTCCACTGCTGTCCCCCAGTGACTGCTATTCAGAGGCTATGCTACTTCTGATCCTGGATGCAATTTGTAGCTTTTGCACTATTTCAGTTCAGTTTATTCAGATGTCTATCATCCATTGCTAGCTTCCATGGATTTGTCTAATTCCCTTTTAAAACCAGCTAAGCTGGTAGCCATCGACACACACTCTTCTAATCACCCTACGCTGGAGATGAGACAATAGGAATAATGTTGCAAATGCCTTAACTAGTTCATTTAGCTTTTCTCCGATAGCTTTGGTTGTTAAATTTGCATACCCTGGTTCTTGGCAGTTTTTCAGCTTCTGAAAATGCTTAGAGCAAGCAATCCCCATATCCCCCCCCCCCCAAGAAACATTCTAGGCATACGCAATGGCAATGATACAGCCAAACATTAAGCAGGTTCATAGAATAGTTTAGAGGTGATTATATCAGCTAAGCAGATTATAGCTGTTTCTGTCCAGCCACAGTAGGGTTGGCCCATCCCATTTTGCCACCTGAGGCAAAACGGGAAGGTGCAGCCACTACCCCTTGCCCTGAAGTTTTGCTTATTAGGGTTGCACGATGGAGGCAGCTTCCAGCAATATCTCACGAGACTTCCATGAGATCTTGCTGGAAGCAGCCGCTGCAGCCATGCAACTCCATGGGATTCTGCCACCCAAGGTACCTGCTTCACCCCAGCTCATGGGCAGGCTGGCACTGATCCATAGAAACAGCTTTTCC